CTGGTTTGACTGCAACATGTGGATACAGGGGACAGGGGTGCTCACCCCTCACTTCCCGCACCTAACCCACATCACGTGGACCACTGGTCGCAAATAATTGGCTGTGATTGGCTGAATCCATTGCTTTGGGTCTCAGGTAAGGCAGAACATCATGGTCAAAGGATACAGAGGAAGACTGCTCGATTCATGACAGCCAGGAAGCAGAGAGAGTTCTGCTCACCAGGGACAAAATATAGACCCCAAAGGCACACCCCCCAGGGACCAACTTCCTCCAGCCACTCTTTGCTTGCCTATAGTCACCACCCAGTACAGAAGACCTTTCAAATTATCAATCCACCTAGTGGATTAATCCAATGATGACCTTATAGATCACATAATCGCATTGCCTCTGAACATTCCTTCATTCCTTCACACATGAGCTTTCACACTTCACAGCCAAACCATAACAAGCCCTTCTTAGCACCACGGCGTTGCCATCCTGTGTGGTCACGCCTGCCACCGTTGTTCAGGAGTGCGTGAGTGGACGTGCTGAGACTATCTGCACCGCCCAGACGTCTATGGTGCTGCTTCCTGGGCAAAGGCACGAACTCAGCAGGCAGCCCCCCCTTAGTCGCTGCACCACCTCTGATGTCCTAACTGTGGGGAAGAGAGGATTGCAGGCTGTTGCTGGGACCTCTCACTCTTCTGCCTAGTCCACAGCCCAGTTTCTGTCACTCAGGGCCCAACTGGGAAAGCAGAAACCACACCCCGTATTTCAAACATAGGGGCTTATTTCAGATTTGTCACAGGAAAAAAAAAAAAAAACCATAGAAAAAAGACCAGACGTGAATCGGGGAACAAGGAACCACCTGGAAATAACAGCAAGAAGCGCCCACACCCTGAGCCCTTCAGGACAGCCAGGAAGCAGAGAGAGTTCTGCTCACCAGGGACAAAATATAGATCCCAAAGGCACATCTGGGGTCTATATTTTGACAGTCCCTGTCAGAAAGGCTCCCTGTGGAGAGAAGGGGAGAAGGAGCTTAACCGCTCCCTTCTTGCCCTCCATATTTCTGTGGTGCTTCATGTTAGTTAACCCCAGCCAGAAGCCAGCTTCCCTAGGAGCCAGAACGGCAACCCGCAGGGTCAGCCCCCAGCGTGTGGAAGGGCAGAGCAGCTGGAGGGCAGGCCAGGCGCAGGCCTGAGGGCCAGCGGCCTGGGTTTATGCCCTGCCTGCTCGTGTTGTGTCCCATCCCGGTGTTCATGCTGCTGTCCTGGACCCTGGTGAAGGAGACAGAGCTGCCCCCTTGGGTCTTTGTGGATTCTTTATCCTCCACCTGGAGGAACAGTGCTTTGGGGAGGGAGGGAGCCTTCATTCTTCGCAGTTGTTCCTGGTTTCCTTGGGGGAGATCTACTCATTTAGCAGCCCACCTCCCCACTCCCCTCAGGAAAGCCATGTCCCAGTTTTCTTTGCGTCCTCCTGTTCCTCTCCCCTGCGTCTCTGGTTCTCCAGGCCAGAGACCCCTAACCCAGGGCATGCTTCCGTGCTCGTAAGTGCTTCCCCAGGGTAATTCATTCCAGCGTAATGCCAGCGTGGACCATCTGTCTAAGGAGATGCCATCTACTAATCAGTTTGTATCGTGTTTCCAATAAATTTCTGGAAATAATGCCTGGCTTTGTGCTCTCCTTGACTGGAACGGTGGCTCAGCTCTGAGGCTCTGGGCGCACACACCCCAGGACTCCATGTCAGAGTCTTGTCTCAGGTAATGAGGCCAGGCTAGTTTGATTGTGTCCCCAGCCACACCAGACTCCCAGGAGCCTTTCTCTACTGAGGGACTGTGTTTTCTCATGCACATCCTGACCCTGCACCCCCTAGGTCTTGGGGTAGAAAGAACAGCAGGCAAACCTTTCCCTAGTAACCACCCCAAGGAGTCACAGTTGTATCAGTTCTGGGTACCCGTGCCAGGGAGCTTGGAATGGCACATTGAGGGGGCTTCTGTGGCTCAGCACAGGGCTTCCCTGTCCCACTGCCCTCTTTTAGTTTCTCTGTCAAGGTTACCACAGAGAAAGATGAGGTGAACCCTGTGTGTGACCCTTATTTGCTGGGTTTTATGAGAGATGAAAGACAAAAAGTAGGCACTGAGTTTCTTCCAAGGGTTTCCATGGAGAAGTAGGACGTGTCCAGGTTCTTGGAGAGAGGAAAAGTTGAGATTAAGGCCGTGTTGGTAGTGTGCAGGAGTCTGGGATGGAGGTCAGTACCGCTGGATGATGGTCAGGGGAGATTTTGTGGAAGCAGAGAGAACCCTCAGGGAAGAACACAGAGGCCCCTTCCTAGTGGAATCCCTCAGGTGCTGCACGGTTCTGGTGCATCTACCCCAACTTGTACTGCCTCCCGCCTGGGAGGTCATCTGTCACTAGTGTTGCGTGCCCTGCCTCTCCAGGAAGGCCACCCCTAATTCCAGGCCAGGGCCGCATTTTAATGCTCAGGCTTCCTGGGGAGCTGCTTCTCCTCTCCTGGATGAGTTGCCCTTGCTCTGAAGTGGTCCTGAGCTGCGGAGGTTCACGCAGAAACCCTGACAACTCCCCTAGAGCTGTGGCTGCTCAACTCTCCAGGCCTCTTCTGGCTTCTTGGTTTTCCAGTGCTGGGGATGGGACCCAGGGTCTAGCACATGCTAGGCAAGTGCTCTACTACTAGGTTACACCCCGGTCCATTTGCATTTTGTTCTGTTTGGTATTGGGGTTTGAACCCAGGGATGCTCTACCCCTGAGCTATACCCAGCACTTTTTATTTTTTGAGACTGGTCCTTGGTAAGTTGCCCAGGCTGACCTGCAACTTGGGATCCTCCTGCCTCAGCCTCCCAAGTTGCTGGGATTGCAGGTGTGCACCACTGTGCCCTGCTGGCTCCTTGCTTAGTGACCCTTTTACAGATTCTTGGGGATATTGTTTTCTTATTCCCAGAATGAGCCACTTTAGTCCCGTGTCATCTCTAAGCCCTCTTCCCACAGAGCCAAGCCTCCTAATAATCCTGTCAGCTTTCTTCCTCAAGACTCTGAAATAGTTCCATTCTCCTCACCAGAGGAGGTGTCCTGCTACCTCTCATAATCAGACCCTCCTGCTATCCATAGGTTGAATCCACCCACCCACTCCCTAGGGCCTTGCAATAGAGTATCCTGACCCAGACCAGACTGGTACTTACTAGCAGTGTAGCATTGGGCAAGTCCCTCAACCTCTCTGGGTCTCAATGTTTTCATCTGTAATATGGGTAATAATTGTGTCTACCTTATAGGACTAAAGAAATTGGGATGTGTAAGGTGCTTAGAAGAAGGCCTGGCACTCACAGTATGAATTGCTTTATCATCTCATTCTCATCGTTCCTTTCTTCTCCTGCCACTATATTAAATCTCTCCATTCAGTCCAGGAAACAACAGAAATGTCAACCACCAAAACCTCTGTCCTCTACTTAGCTTCACCTCAGCTCCCTTATTGGCAAATTTGTCGAAAGAGGAAGGAGTTGTCTCCATGACTTCAAATCTCATGAATTCCTCAATTCCTTAGAGTGCTCTGTGGCTCCCCTTCTGCCCCTCCTGCAGCCACTCCATCAAGTCACTAATGACCATCTGATTGTCAAGTCCAGTGCTCTTCTTACAGGGCGACATCTTAGCCATCCTCTCTGAGCCTCTTGAGCACTGGAAGCTAGGGTCGCACATTACTTTCCAGTCTTTGTGCACTGACACCTCTATTCTCAGAGCTACACCAACATTCCGAGATGACACAGATTTTTTTCAGGAAAACAATTTTGGACATAGTAGCAGTCACCTCTGTATCCCTTTCATTGTCTCCCTTCACTTTTTTATCACCCCAATACTTTCAGTGCATGCATACGACTCCATGACCAACATACAACAGTAGGGAACCCTGGGTGTGCTACAGGGTCTTGCTAATTTGCCCAGGCTGGCCTTGAACTTGCAATTCTCCTGCCTCATGCTCCTGAGTAGCTGGGATTGCAGGAGTGTACCATCTAACCCTGCTGCATTTTTTTTTCTTTTTTCTTTTTTTTTTTTTTTTTTTTGGTATGGGGGTCTGGGGACTTGTCCCCTAAACAGAACAACCTCAGTCCTTGAATCCCCTTGTCAACCCTCCCCCACCCAGCATTCACTACAGAAAGGGATTGGCTTTGACCATAGTACAGTTCCTGTCTCCCGTGTCCAGTCCTGTGTGCAGGTGAGACTCCAGGCTCCTGAAAACCCAAGACAACAGGAGGCTATGATTCCAGTTTCCAGGGCCTGACAGCTTCTGCCCTGTGCCTTGTGCTGCCACGTTGGACTAGGCCTGCGGTTCCCAGATATGGTGGCATCCACTCTCCCTCAGATCCTCCAGTTCTCACCGCTGCCCTGTGCTCCAGTCTGGGCAAGGCTGAGGGTAGACGGGCTGCAACCACAAAAGGGGCATGGTGGAGAGATCAGCCTGAGGTCCGAGTGCCGACAGGCCTGTTCGGGAAGCACTGTCTGATTCCCAAACTTCCCCAGGCCTTATCTGTACCATTTGGGCACTGCCACCTTGTTGGAGAGCCTTGAGGAGAAAATGAAATAATAATTTATGTAAAAACTGCCAGGGGATTCCCTGGCACAGAGCTAATGTTAAAAAACAAAAAAAGCAGAAGGGCTAATTTTCATCATTTCCTATCTGGGATCCCCGCCTCATGTATCTGGACTAAGACCCTCTTTCAGCTGCTGTGCCCTGACCCATGTCCTGGGATATTCCCTATTCTCTTCTTGGCTCCTGCAGGAGCAGGAGTAGTATATGTAAAATATATGGGAACAGAGGAAGAGGGAGAGAGATGACCTCAACTGCAGTAGGGGTCACACACAGTGAGGAATGCCCATCCACCAGCTGGAATACCCAGTGACAGACTCCACCATGTCCCTCATCACCTGGTGCCCTGACACTACAGATGTAACAAGTCACTGGGGAGCACGTAGGGTGGGCCACTCATGATGCCTGTGTGTGTGGAGACCCCCAGGTGCTTGTTCTCCAGGAAGCCTTTATTAAGGTCCTTCTCAGTGGTGGGCAGTGGATCCGTGGGGACAGAGGGATGGGACGGCACACCACATGTTCAACCACAGGGGCTGATGGCTTTAGAGGGGAAGGGAGGTTACAGGGACCCTAGGAGCCTGGCATTCTGGGCTGGGAATGGCAGGAGGGTGAATGATGGCAATGTCCAGGGCCCAGCAGGGGGCACACTGAGGTGCTCAGCTGATGCGCATGGAGAATCTGTGGAGGTTGGGAGAGTTGTTTGGCAGGGATGGCTCTCGGGATAGCACTCAGGCACATGGTGACTGCTTTGGGCCCACAGCAAGACGTCACCCCAGGCACTTCTTGCGGGAAGGGTCCTGAGTCACAGACAGGGCCACAGAGCTTTGCGATCGCTCCCACACGTACCTGGGAGGGACAGATGGGCCGGGGTCAGGCAAAGCCAGACCCTGAGGATTCCAGGGAAAGGAAGGCAGACCCACAGTTTGGGATCCCCCCATTTACTCACGAGGTCCCAGCTGGCACCAGCAGGCTGTCATCTGGGGCCAGGCCCAAGTGCTCTTCCCCCAGTGTCACCACTGAGGAGCCTTCCTGTGAAAGAAGAGCAGGAGAATCCAATAGAGGACATGGGACCTCAACATCTCTCTGAATGTCCCCAAGTCTGCCTTGAAAGGAGACCTGAGAGCAGGGCCCTCCATGGGAGCACGAGCCCAGTAACAGCCTGATCCCCACGGACACGAGGTTGTGCCACCCTCTCCCTGGGCCCCACTTGCCAGCTGCCACAGCCACAGGTCCACGTCCTGTTCCAGGCCTCTACTCCTGCCTTGCCCATGGACGATTACCTGGCGGGAGGTGAAACAGATTTTTCTGCTGCTTCCTACCCCACTTGAGAGATGGCCTTGAACCTGACTCCAAGACACCAGACCTAAGTGGTGCAGGGGTGGGGCCTATACTAGTCGCATCCTGTGTGCGGCGCAGAGACCAGGACGTGGAGAAGGCCTCCCTGCAGCCCACGTACTCCTGGGCATCATGCAGGCCTGCCCCCGACAATCACACCCGAGGTTCCTCTCAAGTTGCTCACCTGAGCATGCCCCAGGGCACACTAGGGACACACACCTCAGCTTCCTACAGGGTGCCCACCTCCCTTCCTCTGTGGGGTGTTATGAGTCTGGCCGCAGTTTGAAGAGGGATGAGGAGAGCCAGGCTGAGGGCTTTCCACCTGCGTTGGCCTGAAAGCCTGCAGCCTCTGTGTCAGGCTGTGCTCCTGCAGGACTCAGTGACTATTTGTTGGTGTAAACAAGTGAGATCAAGGTGTGAAAGTGGCAGATGCAGGCCAGCAGGCGGGTGCAGGGCCAGATACCACTGCTGCATGAGGGGGTGGGACGGGATTCGTGGTCCACCTTCTACTCTCATAACTCTCCGGGCAGCTGTAGTATCAAGAAGAAGCAGGCCAGACCTCTAAGGGCAGGCCTGTGCCCAGTGAGCATCCCTTCCTGCCCAGATGGGATGTGCCAGGGCAAACTGCAACACGAGGGAACCACCAGCCTGCAGGCAGCTCGCCCTGATGCCCTCCTGATCAGTCCCCGCAAAGTACAGGGTGATCTTTTTGAAACACTACTCTGGTCTCCTGGTTCCTCTGCTTCAACGCTTGAAGCCCCGTTGCCTCTAGGACAAGTTCTTCCACCTTGCCAGCCCAGCAGACCCGCTGGGACTTGGGCCCTGTGTACTGCTTCATGGTCTACCGCCTGCCCCCCGCCTCCCCTTCCCCACCCCAGCTCTCAACAACCTCAGCAGAGGTGCATGGTCAGCAACCAGGGCCAAAAAGGGCTTGTGCTCAGTGCTCCAGCCAAATCTGGAACTTGCTGTCCAGCTTGCAGTCCAGGCTGGTTCAAGCCTTCATGTCTTTGCTTCTGTTTCTCTCTCACCAAGAACATCCTCTCCACCTCCCTTCCAACCTTTGCAAATGCCTTTAAACCAGTTTTAAACTCAACTTGCCTATAACCTCCTCCAGGAAGCCTTTATTGACTTCTCTCCCTATTGGAATTCTTCCTTTACCTCCTCTGGCTCCCTGTAGCTTCTCTATCAAATAATGTATCTCAACATCATGGCAGTTGTGGATTAACTTGTCCGAGAACTTGGCTGGACCACACACTTTGTGAGGCAGTGACTCCATCCTGCTCTTTTGCCAAAGCCTGAGACAGAATAGGCACTCAATACATGGTGAATGAAAAGTCAGCTGTGTTTGGCTCTTTCTCTGTGCATGTCTACACAACCCTTATCCCAAACAGATCTCCAGCTTCCAGGCTGTGACTGGAATTCCTAGCAGGAGGTAAGCTGCAGATGCTCAGGAAGCTGAAAGCAAAGAGAGATTGCTTGGGAGCATGAAGCCTCCAGCCATAGCAAAGCCCTTGCTCTCTGAGTGAGGGAGGAGGCAGCATTACCTGTGTCTCATAGCTGTCCCCAAACAGGTTGATGGATGTGCCTGCCTGCAGCTCCCTGCGGTGGCCATCCAGCCAAGCCTTCAGGGACACGGGTTCCATGACAGATCGTGTACTCAGAGGGAATGGCGGCTCCTTGAGCAGCTGGTCTGCATCCAAGGTGTGATTATGGTCAGTGTCCTCTGGGCTCAGCCTCCCCAGGCCCAGAGACATAGATCCAGAGACCCCAGCTCTCAATTGACCAGGCCCTGGATCCAACTCAATTACCAGTAGCCATGCGAGGGTACCATTCAGTGCCATCTCCCTCAGTACCTTGAGTACTGGGCAGAGTACCCAAAAAGAGACACCTGAGATCTAAGGCCAAGACCCATCCCATTGTGGAAAGGGAGTGAGGGGGGAAGATGGTTGCCAGTGGCCTCACCAGGGATGGGCTTTCCTGTTCTGCACTGCTCAGAGCGGAAGAACCTGTAAGGACAACAGGGAGGAGAGAGGAATGGCGGGCATTCCTGCTTGAGTAGCTGGGGAGACACACACTCCATACACTGCTGGGTGCAGGAGCCCCCACACACTTGTGGGGCCCTCACACACTTTCCCTCCCAGCTCTGTGGAGCAGTCTCTCCAGGTGGCTCCCTCCAGCCCCAACCACCCGCAGGAGGGGAGACTTTCTCCCTAATTCCCAGGCATGACAGCACCACAGGAGATGCTGATGTGCAGCCCCAGGACAGCGAGGGGCTGAGGGCTCACTCTTGGATGATGGGGGCCAACTGGGTGCCGAGATCCTTGCAGTAGAACCACTTCTCAAACAGGACATCCACGGTGTCCCCCACGTAGTACCTGCCAAAACAGAGGACAGGCAACCTGGCTCCCCATTTGGGCAGCCCCAGGACATCCATGCTCAGGCCTGCCTCTGCCTGTAGGCTCTGGGCCTGGCCCTACAGAGCTGGGGGCTGCCTGTTTTCCTGGGTCAGCGCAGCCTGTGGGCAGTGCTTATATACCTACCCCTGACCCTTCAGAAGCATCAGTGTGCCCAACCTAGAAAGCAAATAGAACCCCGAGACGCAGGAAAGCTGAGCGACTTACAGTCAGACAGTTGACCTTAAATAAAAGCCAGGGACTTGACATTAAAATGCTAAAAAAAAAAAAAAAAAAAGCCACTCCAAAGGCCTGAAAGGGCACTGAAGTTCCATTATGAAGCTTTTGGTGGCCAGCCCCATCCCAGGAGCTGGGTGGATGCTGTGTGTATCTGTGAACCATCTTCATGAGCAGGACCACCTAAGTCAGGCAGTCTTAAAAGCCTGGAGAGTATCTAATCCAGGTGTGTTTTTCCCAAAAAGGAACCTAAGGCTGAGCCTGAATCCAGGGCTAGCTAGCTGCAGTGCTCAAGGTCAAGGTCCTTAGAAACTACAGTGTCTAGTATACAGAGATGTCCCCCAGATAAGGATTTCTTGTCTTCTCAGGGTCATGGCTATCTTTGAGAACCAGAGCAAAGCTCTGAACCTCTTCTCCAGGGAAGGCGACATGCATGCATACACAGCCTTCAGTGAGTCCCTGCAGCACCTCCCCCCACTCCCCTGCCCAGCTCATCTGTGCTAGGGGCTTCTGTCAATTGAATGCCCTAATCCCCAGGCCCAGTTCCCAGGCCAAGCCAGCTCTGCCTGCCCTTCAACTCCCACTGAAAAAAGAGAATCAGTCCTGCTGATGGAGGTGGTCTACAGACACGTAGCATCCACTCACCCGGCACCCTAAAACCCCTCTTGGGATGGAGCTGGGCACTAGAAAGCTTCATAATGGGACTGCAGTGCTCTCCAGGAATTGCCTTCAGAGTGACATTTTAATGTCGAGTCCCTGGCTTTTATTAAAGGTCAAAAGTAGCCAGATGAAATCTGATATTGAATTTGCTGTAAAATGTTATTGAGGACTCTGTCCTCTCCATCACTGAAGACTTCTTCTAAAAAGTCCCTTGGAGAATCTCCTTCTAGAATCTAAGGCCAGGTATCTGTCTGTCCAACATATTATACAGTAGATTATTATGAAGTTATTAATATTGTATTTTTTGAAAAGATTTAATAGTCCGATAAATACTCATGAGTTTTTTTAAGTACAAAAACCAAAATTCAAACCCACTCAGGCAAGAAGACTGAAATGTTGTCAGGTACAGATATGCACAGAAAAAAGGTGGAAATCTAAGTGCTTCTAGGTTTAATTGGGGATGACAAACACTCCCCGCTTCCTTTTGCTTTTGTCTGTTTTGTTTTCTTGAGAAATAATTCATATACCATAACATTAAACCTTTTTCTGAGACATAATTTTATTTTTCATTCCTGAACTTTTCCAGATTTTGAGTGAATGTGTATGACTTAGGTAATTTGAAGGAAAAAAAAAAAAAGGAAGTATTAAAAAAAAAAAAAGTACCCATTAAAAGAGTCAGGCTTGGTGGCACACTCCTGCAATCTCAGCTACTCAGTCTGAGGTCAGCCAGGGCAACTTAGTGAAACCCTATCTCAAAATGAAAAAATAAAAAGGCTGGGAGTGTATCTCAGTGGTGGGGTGCTCCTGGGTTCAATACCCAGTACCAAAAAAAAAAAAAGGCCCATTTTAGCAATTATAGCAGAAGACGTGGGCCAAAATATCCCGACCCCAATAACTTGATGAGAAAATTAGATTTTCTTAGTGAAAGGGCTGGGGTGTAGCTCAGTGGTAGAGCATGTACTTAGCACGTGTGAGACCTTAGGTTCCATCTCCAGCACAAGGGGACAAACATTAATTTTAAAAAGTTTAACTTTCAGAAAAATCTTTGGTCCTCTTTGCTTCAGAGGCTTCCTCTTTTCAGAGAGTAACAATTGGGCAACTGATTAGACCAAATGTGAATCACAGCTGTATAATCAGAGTACACAGCTGGGCCTGTGTTCTTTCCTTGGTGTTGATCTTGGCCCTGCTTTCCTAGGGTCTAGAAGGTTAAGCTCTAGCAAGTTTCCCTTCCCTGTGCCCAGTATGAAAGATAACAGTCCCTACTCCCTAGAGTCATCTGGGGGACATTCAATGAATAAATACATACAAAGCTCCATCCGGGTGCCTGGCACACAGCCAGGTGCTACCCAGCTATCTGTACCTATTGTGGATTGGGCTGGCCCAGACTAGACCCTGGAAGCTGAGGTTGTGAGACGCAGCAGTGCTTGGGCTGCCCTGGGTAGAGGGTCCTCTTGGCTGTCCCCCACCTCCCTTTCTGCAGCGGCCCTCCCCCGCCCCAGCTGACTCATGTAGGAAAACAGGTTCTGACTCCAGCCAGAGGATCATCAGTCTGAATGGGCTCCTGGGTATGGGATAGGGGGTGAGGGACAGAGACATCATCTCCCACACCCATCATTAAACATCCTCACCCTCCCAGTTAGCCAGCAAATAAAGAACTCCATTGCATCTGGCAGCCAACCCCTCCATCCTCTTGGTGACCAGGAAGTGCTTTCTTGAGTCAACCTGGGATTCCTTCTGCTGCAGTATTGAGCTGCACCCCTCTGCTACTAGCCTGCTGTTTGCCCCAGGCCCCAACAGGGGCATTTACCTGAGCCCATCTAGCTCGGTTTCCAGCCGTCTCCGCTCAATCACCAGCCCCATGGTGTTGGCAAACCTCTGCGGGGAGTGGGGGACCCCAGCAGGCAGGAGGAATATCTGTAGTGGTGGAGACCAGGTGCCCAGCAAGGCTGCCATCCCTCACGGAGACATCAGCTCCTGCAGCTTCCCAGGCATCCCAGCTCACCCGCAGGGCACAGGGGACATTGCCATCCATGTTAGGCCCTGCTCTCTGCCAGCCCTGCCCAGGGAACCAAGCGAGGAATGTCCGGCTGTGCTAGCACTTGGTGGCCCAGAGGAGGGAGTGCCCAGGGACCAGGTAGGGGAAGGAAAGTGTGAGGAGGACAGTGCCTCAGCCAAGGGTGGCCAAGGTGGGCTCCTGTTCTGGTGCCCTTTACCACCCCATCTGCTGGGGTCCAGCCTCACCTCTCCCTGCCGAATGACCACATCCCGGTGCTTCCCTCGCTCCAGGACTCGGAGAACCATGTCTCCTTCCAGCTGATAAAACACCTGTGGAACAGCAAAGAGTCTGGGACTCCCTGCTCCCTCCTCCAGATCCTTGGTCACTGCCCAGGCCCTGAGTTCTGACTAGGAAACCTGAGAAACTTCCCAAAGGACTGAGGTTTATCAGCAACTCCATCACTTCTGTCGTGAGACTCCCATCTTCCCTGACTCAGGCCATTGGCAGGAGAAGGGGACACACATCTTACTTCGCGAACGCACAAGTGATGACCAAAATAACTCAGGATGCAACAGCAGGTGTCTGGCTGGGGGCAGGAGGCTGGGCAAGAGCCTCCTTGGAGACAGCCAGGTAAGAAGAACCACCCTTTCACAGGGGCCAGGGGTTGTGCCAAGCTCTTTCATGTACATTATCAGAAATCTTTACAACTTCCAAGGGCATTGTTAGCCTGTTCTGCAAAGGGGGAAAAAAGAAAGGAAGGAAAAAGAAAACTGAGGCCCAGAGCACAAAGCAACTTGCCCAAGGGCACACAGCTAGATAGTCCCAAAGCTGCCCTTGGGACTGGAGCCTGTGCACGGTGCTAGGCCTAGGCTGGTCTTTCCGGCCAGTGTGATGCTCAGGCACTAGGGGCTGTGGAGGTCAGCAGCCTAGGGTGGGGACTGTGGTCTTTCTGGGGGGCTCCTACCACATTTCCTTATTCTATCCTAAGACCCAATTAACATGCTTACTGAAATGGAAGTGTGGAGGAGGAGGAGGAGGAAGAAGAGGAGGAGGAGGAGGATTGGATCCCTCTCTACAGTTTATACATTGCTTGCACAGGTGTTAAAAGCCCCAGCCAAATAGTTGAAGGACTTTTAATAATAATAATAATAATTAATAATAATAGTAGTAATTATCATGTAAGGAATTAATGGAGATAAAGGCTGTAGTCACAACATCTACTAAGAGAAACCCAGCTGAACACATAAGAAATGAAGAAGCTAGAGAAATGTGGCCCCTAAGCCTGCTGCAGGGTACATGTGGACACAAGGCCACCATGAAGAGCACCATGGCATAGGGCATGAAGAATCTTCACAGTCCACACTGGTATAGAACCTTCCATGCTAATACTGGACATGTCCTAAGTCACACAGGCCACCTGTATTTTTGCCCTGGAAATAGCATCTTAGAAATGTGACCTCAGTCATTGACGGCCCTTAGTTTGCTAGGCCTCTGTGTGCCCTCAGTCAGTTCAGTTAACCTCTCTGTGCCTCGGTTTCCTCTTCTACAGCTTGGGTAGTGTCTGCACAGAAGGCCGCTGTGAAGCCTGCCTGGAAGCAGTATACTCGGCACAGGGCGAGCACTCGATAAACCTTTAACTGTTAACATCAGCAGTTGTAGGAATTGCAATAACAATGCCAATAATAATAGGAGAAACATAAACATTTGCTGATATATTCAAAATATGGAACACTATGCAACCATTAAAAACAGGCTTTTGAATAACAATAAAAATGGCAAAATGGGCTGGGCATGATGGTGCATGCCTGTAATCCCAGCAACTCTAGAAGATGAGGCAGGAGGATTATAAGTGAAAGGCCAGCCTCAGTGACTCAGAAAGACCCTGTCTCAAAAAAAAAAAAAAAAAAAAGTACTGGGTGTGTAGCTCCGTGGTAAAACATCTTGGGTTCAATCCATAGTACAATTTAAAAAAGGGGGGAAATGTTAAATTTATATATATTTTTTACACTGTTGAGGATTGAACCCCCCAGAAAACATATTTATTACGTCTTCTACAATAAACAATATTATGTTCATTATTTAAAATAACCCATACACATGTAATACCAGAAATTCAGGAGACTGAGGCAGGAAGATCATAAGTTCAAGGCTAGTCTGGGCAATTTAGAGAGGCCCTCAGTAATTTAATAAGGGCCTGTCTCCAAATAAAAAAAATAAAGGGCTCACCCACAGGGAACAGGGGACATTGCCATCCGTGCTAGGCCTCAGTGATTAAGTGCCCTTGGGTTCAATTCCTGATACAAACAAACAAACAAACAAACAATAAATAAACATTTAAAAAGGGGTGCTAGAGATGTAGCTCTGTGGCAGAGCTCCCTTGGGTTTAATCCCCAGTTCTGCAAAATAAATAAATAAGAACAAATAAATAAAACCACCTATAAACATTACTGAATACAAATGAGACAAAAACTACTTCTCGGGAGCAATTCAGCATGTCCCATCCCCTCCCCAAGCTGAGAGAAAACCCGTGTATGCATGTGTCTCAGGAAGGGAGGAGGGACCCTGGAGTTCTGAGGAGAGGGCCTAGTCTTCAGGTCCCCAAAACATCTGGAAAGGTGGGAGGGGAGTCTGGGGTGATGTCTGGGTCAGATCCAAACCATTTCCTGGCAGGCTGCAGGGCATTAGCCACCATTGAACAAAACAAGAAGGCAGTGGGGTTCTCCTCAGTCCTGTCCCCTACCCAGGGGCCTGTCCTGTGATGGGGGCAGGTCTGGCCGGGAGCAGCAAGCCAATCACTGACAGCAGAAAATCTCAAATGGCTGTAGGCAGTCCCAAAGGAATTCTGCTGATTTGGAAGAAAATGATGTTAGGGAGGAGGGGACATGAAGTTAGCGGGAAGAGTGAGCCCCGACAGCTCAGGAGACTTAGACAGGGCCTGGCTTCATGGCCTGGAAAGGCCTTACAAGGTGGCAGGACGGTGAGCAGGCCAAGTGAGGACCCAGCCTGTTAAGCTGGTGAATCCTTTCACCTTTGTCCCACATGCTGCACGGGAAGCCTCAGAGGGCGTGCGATGCTCTTGTTCAAGATCACACAGTTGTAAGAGGTTCTTCTTCCTCCTCGCACTTGCCTGCCCTAAGGAAAGGAGTGGGGAAGTGGAGCAGGGGTGCGGGAGGTACTGGGGAGTTTGGGCTGCTGAAGGCAGCCCTGGCCACCTGGAGCACTGTGGAGGTCAGAACTCAGCTGGGAGGGAAATCTGGCTCAGTCAGTGAGAGACGTGATTTGAACCCAGGCCTGAATGATTCTTCCAGCTCTAGCTGAGTAAGGACAGGCAGGGATAGAGAGAACGCGGATGTATTGTATGCATGTGTCCTGAGGCCACCAGCAGCCTGTGGCAGATCAAAGTGCCCTCCTATCAAAGTGTGTGTGTGTGTGGGGGGGGGGGGCATGTCATCACAAACCCATCTCCAGTCAGACTCCTCCCTGACACCTGAAAGTCCCTCCAGAGTAAGGACACACGTGCACAGGCCGGCACTGCTCATCTCTCAGCACCAGCTGGGTCAGGGCATGGCTGACCCAGGTCCTCAGTGGACACCCATGTGCTGCTTGGAGAAACCATGAGATGGGTCTGGGGCATAGGTGGCAGAGGATAAAAAGGGAAGGAGGGAGACAGACCAGCAGACACAAGGGGTGGGCGCTGGGATCAGAGCTAACAGGTGAGTGGAAGCTGCTGTCCTTACCCATGAGGCTGCTTCAGGCAGGCAGGACACCAGCCTTGCCTCCCCCACCGTGGCCACTCCTGATCTAGCCCCTCCCCCTCTCTGTAGGTTTGAATTTTCCTGTTGATTTTTTCCAAAGAGAAAAATAGTCTCGGGGAGGTGTGTCTGTGAGAAGGGTGGGCCCAGAGAGGGAAAGGCCCTTGGAAATGTGAGGGATGGGCTAATTCTGCTCCACCCCCGTGTACACACTAGGTGCTCACTGAATGTTTGCTGACTGAGCAATGCTCCAGGCTCACTGGAGTCCTGGACTGTAGGAAGACATGGGCAGTGGGGGTGGAGGGCTGTGACCAAGCTAGACTTTGCATCTCAGACCCTAGAATCAGGCTTGCCTCCAGATTGCTGGAGGGATCCTTTCCTACTGGAGTCTCTGATGGTTAGGATCCTGTCCGTGTCTCTCTCTCCTTATGAGGGCTTTCCCCCTCTGTTAATTTTACTTTTGTTTATGGACTTTGGGATAGGCAGCAGAGAAACAGTTCAAAAATCAAGGTACAAAGGGTATTCAGCGCAACCCCTGTCCCGGTCACATAGCTCCTAACAACTGATGTGTCTTGCACTTTCTAAGTAAGGAGGGGCCACCCAGTCCCACCCATTCCTCAGCCCCAGCTCCCCAGCCTTGCCCTTCTTCCTTCAGACCCCTCCCCATCTCCCCACCACCATCCACCACCCACCCCCAGCCCACTCCCACTTCGTATGGCTGCATTTTCCCCCCTTGCTCTAGGAGAGGGAGAACCTGGCTCCAGGGATGGGAAGGGAGAACTGGGTTCCCTCCTGTGCCTGGGTCTCATTTTAGAGGCCAAATATATATACTCAGGTTTGGGGCAGGGGACCAGGCATCCCACCTGGAGCATGGACAGCTAGTGTGTCAGGGACCGGATGCCCACAGTGAGAGCCTATCCTACCCACAGGGCTGGGCTATTTCCTAGGGCTTTTCCTGCTGAGTCCCCCCTGGCTCCATCTCAAGGAGAGGGCTGCCCAAGGTGGCAACTTTGAGGTGGTAGGTTTCCCCTGTGATTTCAGAGTGTCCCTTAACAGTCATGCCTCTCCTTCTCAGTCCACAGCTCTGGCCCTGATGCAGGAAGTACCTGCTTCCCCAGGGGCTGATGTTCCTTGGCTGGACCAGGAAGGGGCAGTCATAACCTACCTCCTCGCCCTCCTCGATGTGATAGTCCTTCCTGATGTTGGGGCCCCCGACGAACATGATTTTGAGCTGCTCCTGGTGCCTGCAAAGGAGTGGTAGGGGGAGGTCGTGGACCAGGTCCTGGGAGGGAGGGGTCTGTGGTAGGGGGAAGGGGGCCTGGAACACTTAGAGAAAGAACAGATCCTTGTTCCCACTCTCATCCTCAGCCTGTGTCCATGTGCATCTAAGTGCCTGTGTGACTGTGATTGAGTATGTCCCTCTGTGACACACACAGAGGGGCAGCCTAGCAGTGGCTCTGTCGCTTCATCACCTAGCCTCCCGGGGCAGTGCTCAGGATCTCTGATCACAAGAGAGCACACTAGAGCCCATGTCTGACTGTGGGACCCTCCGTTTCCCAATGGCTAGAGGCCTGACTCAGGAGACTGCGACATTTAGGAGCTCAGACAGCACTGAGTCAGAGTGACATGCGTTTAAAAACAGGAGCTGGAGCCAGCCTCTGGGCATCCAATGTGGCTCTACATGCACCCTTGGGCAATGCTACCTAACCTGTCTGGGCCTCAGAGTTGTCATCTGTAAAATGGAGAGCTAGCTCTTGCATCAAGTTTCAATGGATTACACAAATTCATTTTTAGAAGCTCTCAGAACACAGTGCCTGTCATATAATAAGCACTATTTAAGTGTTTGATAAAATAAGCTTAATGTGACCCTCTCATTTGACGGCTGACTGTTCAAACTTGCTAAAGCTCAGAGAGGGTCATGCAGCCAGGGAATGACAGAACCTGAGTTCGGACCTGGGCTCCCTGACTCCCAGGCTGGTGCCCTGACCCTGGTGTACACTGTCAGCTGTTTGAAACTTGAAAGGATGCCCACGCTCCTCAGCCTGTCTGCTATTGGTATGGTGTCACCTTTTATGGGACCTCTGTACCTCCTGACAGCAACACACCCATCTTCCATTCTAGGGTCTACTCTGCAGAGATTAAAATAAGCAGTGGTCTGTGCATGGGCAGGGGCCTGGGGTCTTAAGTAGCCAAGCGACAGAGGGCAGGGGCAAGGGCTTTCCTTGGGAATGAGGAGGTGCGGAATCCAGGCACAGGGACCATTTTTGCTACTTCAGATCTCTGCAGTAGAGGCTGACTGTAGCCACGATGAGGTTTGATGGCAGTGGAGGGGTTGGGGGTGTGTGAACCCCCAATCCTAGACTGGAAGTCCTTGACTAGTGTCTTCTCCTGCGGATTGTTTTCCAGCTCACGGGGGGAGGGGGACCTCCTTTATGGGAGGCAGGTATTAATAACCAAGAACATATATCCATCATGCCCCAAATGAAAAGAGGGATGAGGTTACTGGGCAGGAGGAGGCTGGCACGGGGTAGTTCTGAGCTTAAAGAACTTAAAGCTGCTTGGAGGAGAGGAGAGAAGCACTGAGGTGCCTAGAGAAGGGAGCAGTCAGCTGAGTACAGAGGCCCAAGAAAGGGAGCGCTGGGGGTCTTGGTGGGTGTAGGTGGTCTTGGGGAGTGATTTGAGAAAGCTGGATCAGGAGGGGGTCTAGTTAAGGTGTTTGGTGTTGGCTTGAGGATGCCAGGGAGCCTCAGAAAGTATTTTTTTTTAAATCAACTTTATTGAGATATAATTTAGGTACACACTGAAAGTTCTTGAACAAATCCATTCCGGAACTGTTTCAACCCATTGATCAGAATGCAGATTACATCCCTCCAGCAGCTTCTTGCCTTGGTGAGGGTGTTATAGGTTGAACTTGTCCCCCCTAAATTCATATGTTGAAGTCCTAACCTCCCAGGACCTAAGAATATGACCCTATTTAGAAATAAGGGCATTGCAGATGTTATAAGTTAAGATGAGGTTATACTGGAGTAGGGTGGGTTAGAGTTGTTTTGCAAACAGGAAATATGGACGTGGACACATGGGGAGAGTGCCTGTGAAGATGAAGGCAGAGATTGGGGTGATGCAGCACGAGCCAAGGGAGACCAGCAATGCCAGGAAAGCCGCAGAAGCTAGTGGGGAGGTGTGGCATAGACTCAATGCCAGCCCTAGCAAACTAAAACAGGGGGAAGGCACAGTCCTCACTCTGACCCTTCGCTGCCAGTCTGCCTGCCTTTGCCTCCCCTTCTGCCATCTGAATGTCAGCTCTACAAGGAAGGCACTTTTGTCAATGTGTTTCCTTCTGTATCCCCAGAGTCTAGGCCAGCCTGGCAGGTAGTAAGTGCTCAGTGAACATCTGCTGAGTGAATAAAGAGAGGGAATGTGTTTGTGATGATGGTTAACACCAGGGCAGCACTGGAGGATTGGGGGAGACCTTAGAGGCACAGAAGCCAGTACTGCCCAGGCTGGAGGTGGCCAGGGAGAAACCAGAATAGTGTCTGGGCTGTAGTGGAGCAGATGGGTTTTTGGGAGAAAAACTGGGGGACTGAGAATGAGAGACTGTGAATAGGGAGGAGTGGAGGAAAGGGACAGAGACGATAAAGATGTAGGTTGAGAGGATAATAGTGGCAGAAAAGAAGAGTCTTTGGGGAAATGCTAACTGTTAGCCATGGTGGTATTGCACACTGACCAAGAGAATATGTGCACTTTGGAGTCTGGGCTTGAGTCTGGACTCTGTCCAGCACTAGCTCTATGACATTGGGAAAGTTCTGTGAAATTCCACCTCATGGGCTGTGAGAACTAAATGAGATGATGCCAGAATGCTTGGCATGGTCTCTGGCCTGTCACAACATCAGTGATTGTTGCCCTGTGGGTTGAAGTACCATGCCAGAGGAGTTGTCTTGCAGGAACAGCAAATATAGGGAATGTGAGCCTGGTCTGGGGGTCCCAGGAGGCCCAGCAATGGAACTGAAGGAAGGGGAGGGAGGTGATCACAGGGAGGGCCTGAGAGATCTGTGAAAGAAAGATGGCAGTGACCAGTTCAGCCCTGTTGGGTGCTGCAGGCAGAGGTGGCCTTGGGAGGGCCGTGTGTGTGTGTGTGTGTGTGTGTGTGTGTGTGTGTGTGTACACCTGCAAAGAGGGGCTCTGGAAAGAACAATAAATCAAGATCTCTCCAAAGGGGCTGATCCTCTGACCTTCCCCTTTGCCTGTAGGTTAGCCTGTGTGAGTCACGTGTCCTCAGACCTAGGTTCTATTCTCATTCTGGGGCACTGAAAACCATTCTCCCCAAATTTCAAAGTTTCCCAAAGTCCACTGGAGTCCTTGGGGGAACTTGAGAGAATCCCTGGGGGCTGGAGAGCTCTTTGCCAGCCCTGGAAGGAGGAGCACCTTGTCATCTCATCTCCTACTGCCTCAGAAGCACCCTGGCCCTAGGCAGAAGTCAAAGTCACAGCCCTTACTATGCAGTTACCAGAAAGAGGAACAGACAGAGGTGGTGGAACCCGGAACAGCAGGTCCTCACCCTCCCAGAAGGAGCCAAGAGAATGACAGCCCCTTTCTGCAGGCTTCTGGGTCAAGCAACTGGACCTGGAAGATGGTGCGGGTCGCGGGGTGGGCCGGTTAGATGGAGGAGATGGCGAGGACAGAGGGGGCGGATACAGGAGCTCAGACTCACATGAGCTTGTTGCAGACTGGGGGCTGGAAGGAGGCCCTGTTGTCCTCCACCCAAGTCTTCACTCTTACGCGGCGCTCCATGGCCACCGGGTCTGATCGCCTCCTCCCCGAGTGTCCTCTGGCCGGTGGGGCCGTCGGAGGGATGCGGCTCTCCCGGGCTCATGGGTTGGCCGCCTAGTTAGTCAACATCCCCGAGGTCAAAGGGCGGAGCAACCCCTTAACCCCCCCCTCCCCCGGCTGCGGCGGGCGGACTTGGGTGTGAGCCCGCCTACCCTGCGCACCTCCCCGTGCGCTTGCCGTTAGGTCTCGGTGCACGGGGTCGGGGAAGAAAGAGAGCGACCCTGCTTCTAGGCAGAACAGGGATCAGTCCCCGGACCCGAACCTCCCGACCAACCCAGCGTCCTGGGGGCGCCTGGCAAACCCACGCCAGAAATGGGAGCCTGCTGCCCGCCTAAGACGCAGGATCCAGACTCTTCCTGGCATTTGTCCCTAGATTTCCGTCTGGTTCCTAGGAAGGCTCCAAAGATACTGTAGGGAGGCGAGTTCGAAAATCCGAGAGTCAGCACGTGGTGTTGATGCTGGATTTAAGACTCAGTTTTCTTATCTGGAAAATGGCAATGACTGCACAGCCTCTGGAGCTGAGGTGCGCATAGAACGAAAAGATGCCCCGATTAACGCCAGTACCCTGTGTCCTCACGAGGACAGAGCTTGGCTGCGGCCCCCAGATGTTCTATTACACAGGAAAAGGCTGGCTCGACTGTGCCCTAGGCTCTGCGAGGCAAACCGGGGCAGACGCAAAGCGTCAGGAGCCCGGGTGGAGAGCAAGCGCCGCGAGGCCGTGGTCCTCTCCCTGCATCGCGGGAGACACATCCCGAGAGGGGACACTGTCCTCAGCGCCAGCATCGTAGTGGGCACGGGCCAGGTGCCCTCCATCGTTTTGAGCTCTTTGCATATCTTAAGTCACACACAGTTAAATGAGGAATTGTGTAGATGAGCAGGGGTCCTGGGTGTCCTAGCCTTTCAATATCTCCGGGTACAGAGGTGGGGTGGGCAGCCAAGTCTGTGCGAACCACGACAGCGCCTGCCAGAGCCTCTGCCACGGTGGTCCTGGGACGGGAGACCTAGGCCTGGGTGTGGGGGTATGAAATAGAGGACGGTGGCGGCGAGGGGGTACGGAGGAGCGGGAAGGCAAATGCTACTACCTGCCTTCCTCTGTTTTCAGGACTCAGAATGCTCAGGAAAACCGGAGGAGGGTGGAGCGGGGAAATGATAGGTGGGGAACATGGAAAATGGCTCAGGCTTCTGACACCAAGAATGCAGATTGCAGAGTTGAAGTAATTTTAACTCCTCCAGCTCCAGCTCTCACACCCACCTTGGCCACTCCCTCGGCCTTCCCCGGGTGCCTGGCGTGGCCAGTTTTTCTCAGCATTTCAGATGTAAAGACAAATCCCAGATCATTGTGAAGCAGGATTCCCACTCACCTGGCTGTGACTCTCCAATTCCCTCTCCACTCCCTCTCCTCCTTTCCCCCTCCTTC